AATTTCAATTCTCATTGCAAATTTAATACTTAAGATTATCACAATTAATGAAAGGTTAATCATGATTAGATAAGCAAAAGTGATAAATAACTTGCTCAAAATAATATTATGAAATAACCAAATAAATATCACAAACAAGATATAGAAAGTTCATCCATAACTCTAGGCATAAACTTTAGCAAAACATAAAGATAAACACCAAATTTGTATTATAACTAAACATAAAATCAAATACAAAAGAGAAAGTGTTAGGAGAGAAGTCACCCTTATCACATGAGCTCTCACTCTCCATCTTTGTTCTTTAAATCTTTATCCAAATCTAACTATAAGTACAAGATGGATAAACTACTCTAACTATACTATACTAATGAACTAAGAAAAACTAGTGAAGATTACATTTTTATGGAGTTTCTCTAGCCTTCCAAAATTGTTAAAATGTTCTCCAAGGCTTTTATTTATAGAGATATTCAAGCCACAAATGAGTTATTTCTAGTTGGCAAAGTTGGCTCTTGAAACTCTCAAAAGTTGTTTCTAAAAGATTCCACACTTGTTTGCTGATTTCTAGCCGGATTTCTTGCAGAAAAATTGGTCAAAAAACTTGTGTGAACAAAGCATAAGGTGCAGAACAAGTTGCAGCCAAAAACAAGAATACATGGCCCCAAAAACCTGACCTACCTCGCGTATTGTACCCCCCATTTTACCTTATTGCAGGTTTGCTCATTTTTTGTCAGTCTTCATCATTTCTCTCTGTTTTTGTACCAATTTCAACTGATATTTTCTGGATGATGGAGGCTGAACTAGTTCTTGTACAAAACATAAAGGCTGTACACCTTTGTGTTAGCTTTCAATGGCTCATGAATCATCAAATTTGGAGCTCTGTAGACTGAGCAATGACCCAAATACCCTCAACTGATCAATCCCCTATTAAATCAAGATAGATAAATCAAGGTAAAAGTTAAGAATTTAACTAAGATAAATAATCAAAAACTCCTTCATAAAGCACTAACCCTAGATATAATTTAGTTCAACATATTCATAATTAAAACCAAGAATTCAGGGAAAAGATACAAATAAGGAGATAAAAGTAAAGAAAATTTCTCAATGGCTCTTGCTTCGATCTCCGTCTTGCTCTTTCTCTTTGATTCTTCAACTCTTTCTTCTTGATCTGTCAAGAAAAGAAGATATAAAAAGGATGAACTAATGCTAACCTATTGTTTTTCTCCCCTAAAAACGACTGAAAGAACCCCTATTTATGGTTTCTTGAATAGAATTTATTAGAGTTGAAAAATCACATTTTCGCCCATTATTCCGATGATGACCAACATAACGTTTGGCACCGGTCATTGGGCTAAAATCAAAACACAAAAGAATTTGAAGATGTCCAGTGTGAAGTCCTTGGTGATGTCCAATGCTGGTCATGGATCTGTCAATAGATTGATACAGATTCGAGCATGGATCATATTTGAATCCCAAAAACACCATCAAATAGGCCAAATCAGCTCTTAATTAAAACGTACAAGTTGTATCCCTTTGAATTAGCTTTCTAATGCCAATCAAGTCATTTAGAGTTCTGGACGTTGAGATATGCATAAAATACTGTGACTTGATCGCAATAGTATCGCATTGCAACTATATTTCAGTAATTTGGACTTTTAACTATGAAAACGTGAGAACCCAACTTTGATGTCTCCATAAAATTGCAGATTGTTCTCTTAGCTTTAAAGTGAATCTAGAATCATCTCAATCCAATTGGTGTAGCTAAAGTTATTGCCAAAAATTGAAACATGTCAATCTCGCCAAACCCCTTTCTTTTGACTTTTTCCTCTTCCATTGATTCTTCAGGCCATATTTTTAGTCCATTTTCTCTCTAGCTTTTCACCTATTAGAACAATATAAGAACAAAATTAAATAGTTTTCACTCAAGATAAAGCTCAAATAACATAATTAACTGGCAACTTATATATACAAATGCACTACATTTTACACCCTATCAATTACTTGAAATTGATTTACCGAGTGACAATTAAATAGAGTGTAACTTCTCTCCAGCAGTTTTTTCAACAACTTTTTTAGTTTTATTAGTTTTTAGTTCCTCTTTGTTTCATAGCTTGATTGAGGTCAAGTGAAGCTTGGCTTGGTTTAAGGCGTGGTAGGATTTCTATCCGCATGGGGTGACTTTTATTGTTTCCCGCGCCTTCACGAGAGCTTAGATTTCTAAGTTCTCACACGACTAAGCTCAGATGTGGCTGGGTTATCTAATCCACTAATTGGGTCTACATCGAGAAGCATGTAAATACGTGATGGATCTGCGAAGCATGTTTCATGGGCTGATTGCATGCAAAATGGTTTTGAATCGGATGCGAAAGCAAAATCATAGGCACAAGTGGTTTGTGATCAAGCCAATGTTCACGATGGGTTGCGATTAGCATATTTAACTCCATTGAAGGAACAATTGAATGTCAAAATTGATATGGTGGATGTGGAAGAAGAGATTCTGAAGTGGAAAAATGCAGTAGTTGGGTTTGTTCTAGGATCAGCTCCTTCTTATCAGATTGTGAGGAAATTTGCTGAATCAAAATGGCAACAATTTGATAAGGTGAACTGTACTCTTCTGAAATATGGACTGTTTATATTTCACTTTGAATCTGAAGACGCTAAAATTAGGTGTTGGGTCAAGCTTCGTGGCCATTTATGAGAAAAATACTATTCCTGAATCCTTGGACTCCTGAACTGGATTTAGCAAAGGATGAGATGAAAATTGTGCCAATTTGGATTAAGTTACCTGATCTGAAATTGCACTATTATTCAGCTAAAACTCTAAGTAAGCTGGCTAGTTTTGTTGGTGAACCATTGTATACTAACAAGCCTACAACTACTCAATTTTGATTGTCTTATGCTAGATTGTGTGTAGAAATTGATGTGCATTGCTCATTACCTAAGCAGATTCCATTTGTAGATGAAATGAAAAATTCGAGGTATCATGAAGTGGTGTATATGTGGATCCCACCTAAATGCATGCATTGTGAAAATTTTGGGCATCCCACCTATAGGGTCCTTTTAAGCCTAAACAAACTCAGAAATGGAACCCAAAGGAGAAGCTGAAAATGGATAAAGTGGAGACTTTAGTGGAGCAACCATCACCAAATAAAGGAAAGAAAGTAATGGTTGAAGATATTGAAAAAGGAGTTGATGACAGCTTGACTGAGCATGAAGGCTAGCATAGAAAGGCGTGGGGATGGTAGCATGACAGCATGTCAGGTGCCAAGGAGACATTCCGTGATGATCAGCAGCGAGACGGCACATATGATGAGGCATTCGGCGGTGATTGCAAGAAGAGCAGTTGTTCCATGCTCATTGTCAGCATTGATAGGGAGATAATTGTGCGTTTTATTCGCTGTTATTTGGTCTTAATTTTGGTCACTATTGTGCAAAACACTGGATTTCTGTCCATATTTGGTATTTGTGCTATTTGCAAGAAAGTGGTGTTGAAAGTGACAAAAAGGGAGCAAATTCCAAAAGACCAGACACTCTCTGGCGTGCCCACGCCAGATAACGCAGAGCTACGTGAAAAAGCCGGATCACGGGCCTAATCCCTGGAACTACCATTATTATCGGGAGACATCTTTTGACCTATGTGGGATTAGGAAGCCTTTTCAAAGAAGACTTTTGGCAACAATTGATGAGAGAAATAAGGAAGCAATCCTTGGGAGAAACAAATTCCAAATCGAAAAGCAAGGGGGCGGTAGCGAGGACTTTAAAAAGAAGACAGCAACAAACTAGGAAGACATCTTTGGAATCTTGTTGACTTTTCTCTTTGGTTTTCTTTTCTTCCGAACGCAAGTTAGTAGACTAGGGGCCGCAGTTTTTACTTCTTGAACAACAAAATCACTTTCAAGTTTTTCTATCGCATGGATAGCATGAGATCAGGCTAAGTCTTTTTATCTAGTTGAGGAGTAATCAAGACCCGAAGCACAAATAATTGTGAGATCGTTTTGTTTATTCTAAATTCCACGTTTGTGAGTATTTAATTATTCTTTGTTTAAACAACCAATTATTGTTTGGATTTATTGGATCGATATGGCCAGTTGTTCAATTGTCTAAATAATATATTGCCAATTACGACAGGGGTGCGTATCACTTGAATGTCTTAAATTAGTGGCAAACGGTACCAATTTTATTGCCTCGCAAGCAGTCTAATCTGGGTCGTAGGAATAATTAATCTAGTTTAAATGAACCCGCATGTGTGTTTGTTAACTAGAATTGGGTCTCTCTAATTCCTAAAGCTTTAATTAGATTAAATCCTTCGAGCGTCTCTAGGGTTATCTATTTTACAAGAGGGTAGTTTACGAGCATCTCTGGACTACTATAAAATTAAAAAGAGATTGGGAGTTTGGCGGTTGCTAAATTGCTAGAACCAATTTATTTACGACGTGTGAATTAATTCAGGTGTTTATGATCAATTGTGTGAACCGGTGCTGAGATTATCTCCTTGACTAGGTTGTGTCAATTAATTGTTTATTTCATTCTTGAGTTATAGCATTTATTGCAATTGTTTATTTAGTAATCTTGTGTCTTTAATTTGTTTCATTTATCTCTCTCTTTTTCAAAAATCCCCCAATGACCTGTGTGTAATAAATCTACCGGTTCCCTGAGGAAACGACCCTACTCACCACTACACTCATTCAGTTTTGGTAATAGGTCTCATATAAATTTTATTTTTGGTAGTTTGACAGCCACCAAATTCTGGCGCCACTACCGGGGACCTAATGCTTGAAGTGATTTATTGCACAGGCTAGCTTAGCCCTGTTTTATGCCTCGATCTTCCCATACAAGAAGACTCGAGTTTGACCCAGAGATTGAGAAAACAACAAGGAGGCTAACGAAGGAGACTAAGTTGCTAAAACAACAAACTTCAGCAGCCCTCTGGAGTTGAACGGGACTTTGACTTTGGGGATTCATCAGTCCAACTGGAAACAAATCTGCCTGGACCCAACGAAACAATGGCAGCCCAAAGAACCTTGAGGGAGCTTGCAACCCCAAATGTTAACCAACAGCCTCTGTGTATCACTTACACTGACACGGAGGAGGCTTTTGAACTAAAATCTGGGCTGATTCACTTATTGCCTACATTTCGTGGTATTGCAGGTGAGGACCCACACAAGCACTTGAAGGAATTCCATGTAGTGTGTTCAACCATGAGACCTCAGGGGGTCACTGAGGAGCAAGTCAAATTATGTGCGTTTCCATTTTCCCTAGCGAACAAGGCTAAGGATTGGTTGTTCTACTTGCCATCGGGGTCCATCACCACCTGGGAAAGATTAAAACGGCAATTCCTGGAGAAGTTCTTCCCCGCGTCTAGGGCAGCCAATATCAGAAAAGAGATATGTGGAATCAGACAGGCAAATGGAGAGACTCTTTACGAATATTGGGAGCGTTTCAAACAACTGTGTGCTAGTTGCCCACACCATCAAATTCCTAACCAACTGTTGATCCAATATTTCTACGAGGGACTTCTACCCATGGATAGGAGCATGGTCGATGCAGCTAGTGGAGGAGCTCTAGTGAATAAGACGACAGATGAAGCGAAACTACTGATATCGAACATGGCCGAAAATTATCAACAGTTTGGAGTCCGATCTGAGGGCATGACTAGGAGTGTCAATGAGGTGAATCATTCTGACTTGGCAAATAAGTTGACTGAACTAATGGCTCTGGTTCGTCAGATGGCAGTAGGGCAAGTACAAGCAGTGAAAGCATGTGGGATATGTGCTGCTTCCGAACATGTGACCGACATGTGTCCGACCCTTCAAGAAGACCCATACGAGCAAGCTAGTGCCATGGGAGGTATGTCTAGACCTCCTCAAAGGAGAAATGATCCCTATACACCCACATACAACCCAGGGTGGCGAAACCACCCCAACTTTAGCTACGCTCAGAAATCTTTGGGTTTCCAACAACCATTCTAGCAAAGACAACCAATTCCACAACCATCCGCATCTGATTCGGGTATGTCCCTGGAGGACATGGTTAAATCACTGGCTAACAGCACTTGTCAAATGCGGCAGGACCAACAGAGATTTCAGCAGGACCAACAGAGAATGCAACAAGACCAACAGAGATTTCAACAAGAGACACGCTCAAGCATTAGGACCTTGGAGGCACAAATGTCACAATTGGCGTCTTCATTGAGTAGCTTTGAGAATGGTAAAGGAAAGCTATCGTCTCAGGTAATCCCCAATCCAAAGGAGAATGCAAGTGCAATGCTTTTACGAAGTGGGAAGGAGGTACAATCATCCAAATCGGAAACAACAGGAGATGAAGATGAACAAGTGTCCGAGAAACTTGAGAGAGAAAAGGTAAGCAGTCCATCGCCCATTCCTAAGGCCTTTGACATAAATTCTCCTTTTCCTGGCAGGTTTGCTAAGGCAAAGAAAGAGGAGTTGGAGAATGAGATTTTGGATACTTTCCGGAAAGTGGAAATCAACATTCCATTGCTTGAGACGATTAGGCAATTGCCAAAATATGCAAGATTTCTGAAGGGGTTGTGCACTAACCGGAACAAATTGAATCTCCAAGACAAGGTAAGGGTAGGTGAGAACGTGTCGGCAGTCCTCCAAAGGAAATTGCCACAAAAGTGCAAGGATCCGGGTATGTTCACGATACCATGCATCATAGGCAAAAAAGGATAGAAAAGGGTATGCTTGATCTAGGTGCATCTATTAATGTTATGCCCTTGTCAATATTTAAAACTTTGAACCTAGGGCCTCTAAATGATACAAGGGTAGTAATTCAACTAGCGGATAGGTCCAATGTTTACCCTGAAGGTGTAGTTGAAGATGTTCTGGTAAAAGTTAATGAGTTTATCTTCCCTGCTGATTTTTACATTGTTAACATGAATGATGATAACTCAGTTAACTCAACTGTACTCCTTCTGAGTAGACCATTCATGAGTACGGTTAGAACCAAGATAGATGTGTATGAAGGTACCCTGTCTGTAGAGTTTGACGGGGAAATGATTATGTTTAATATTTTTGATGGAATGAAATACCCGAATGATACTGAGTCTATTAACTATGTTGGTGTCACTAATTCCATTGTCCAAGATCACCTTGAGCAGAATCCTATGGAGGACAAGCTGAAATTCATGCTACAACAAAGCAAGACGAATTCAGACGTGGAAAGTGAGGATGAGGAGGACACTATAGAAGCCATTATGTCACTACACTCATTTCCTGTGCTTCCCGACAGGTCAGTAAACTCAGTCCTACCATTGCCTACTTCTAATGAGAGAATTTTACCTTTTGTGGAATAGGCACCCGGGTTGGAATTGAAGGAATTGCCGAAACATTTGAAGTATGCCTACCTTGTAGATCACAACACCCTGCCGATCATCATCGCAAATGATCTGACCGTGGTACAAGAGAAAAAACTCCTAAGGGTTTTGCGGGAGTATAAACCAGCAATCAGATGGACGTTGGCAGGTATTAAAGGTATCAATCCATCCATTTGCATACATCATATTCTCCTTGAGTCAGAAGCAAAACCGGTGAGAGAACGGCAGAGAAAGCTCAACCCAGCCATGAAAGAGGTGGTGATAAATGAGATTCTCAAGCTTTTAGAGTTAGGAACAATTTTTCCTATCTCCGATGGTGAATGGGTGAGTCCAGTTCATGTCGTCCCTAAGAAGACCGGCATCACCCTTGTGAGGAATGAGAAGAACGAGTTGGTGCCAATGAAACTCCAAAATGGATGGAGAATGTGTATCGACTTTAGGAAGTTGAATGCGGCAACAAGGAAAGATCACTTTCCATTACCATTCATCGATGAGATGCTTGAAAGATTGGCAGGTAAGTGTTTCTTTTGCTTTCTAGATGGCTACTCTGGGTATTCTCAAATCACTGTTGCCCAAGAGGATCAGCAAAAACGACTTTTACTTGCCCTTTTGACACTTTTGCTTATTGTCGTATGCCTTTTGGGTTGTGTAATGCTCCAGAAACATTTCAAAAATGCATGATGAGTATTTTTTCTGATATGATTGAAAATTGCATTAAAATATTCATGGACGATTTCACGGTTTATGGTGATTCTTTTGATCAATGCTTGCATCACTTAACAAAAGTCTTACAGCGGTGCATTGACACAAATTTGGTCCTTAATTATGAAAAGTGTCATTTTATGGTCAAGGAAGGTATTGTCTTGGGGCATGTCGTTTCATCTAGGGGTATTGAGGTCGACAAGGCAAAAGTTGATTTGATTAATAGCTTGCCTTGCCCTGCTAATGTCAAAGAGATTCATAGTTTTCTTGGTCATGCAGGGTTCTACAGACGTTTCATAAAGGATTTCTCACGAATCGCACAACCACTATCTCAACTACTTCAAAAGGAAGTTACGTTCGATTTTGGAGAGGCGTGTAAGCTGTCTTTTGATACGCTAAAGAATATGTTGACCACAGCACCAATCATTCAGCCTCCAGACTGGAGCTTATCTTTCGAGCTTATGTGTGATGCCAGTCAATAAGCAGTGGGAGTTGTACTCGGTCAGAGAAGTGGGAAGTGTAGCCATGTCATTTACTATACTTCAAAAACGATGTCGCCAGCTCAATATAACTACACTACCACTAAAAAGGAGCTTTTAGCCATTGTTTTTGCTTTTGAGAAATTTAGATCATATTTGTTAGGATCAAAAGTAACGGTTTTCTCTGACCATGCAGTTTTGAAATACCTTTTGGCAAAGAAGGAGTCCAAATCAAGACTTATTCGTTGGGTACTCCTGCTTCAAGAGTTTGACTGGGAGATCAAAGATCGAAAAGGGGTGGATAATTCAGTGGCAGACCATTTGAGCCGGTTGATTAGAGAAGAAGAGGGGGTGCCCATATCGGAGGTATTTCCAGATGAACACTTGTTTCAACTTAGAGGAGAGGAACCCTGATATGCTGATATTGTTAACTTTTTTGTTAGTAAAAAATTTCCAAGTGGTATGAGTAAGAATAAAAAAGATAAAATTATCCAAGACGCCCGATATTATATTTGGGATGAGCCCTATTTGTGGAAAATAGGCTCTGACCAGATTATTCTGCGATGTTTTTCACATGAGAAAATTCCCTCTATACTTACTCATTGCCATAGTTATGCTTGTGGGGGGCACTTTGATCCTAAGAGAACTGCTAGGAAAATACTTGACTGTAGTTTTTATTGGCAAATCTTGTTTCGTGATGCTTACTTGTTTTGTAAAAGATGTGAAAACTGCCAAAAGTTTGGGGATTTATCTCACCGGGATGAAATGCCCCAGGTTCCTATGTTATTCTGTGAAATTTTTTATGTCTGGGGTATGGATTTCATGGGACCGTTTCCTAGTTCTTTTGGTTGTCTTTATATCCTTTTAGCTGTCGATTATGTGTCGAAATGGGTAGAAACTAAAGCTACCCGGACTAATGATTCACCAGTTGTTGAAGGATTTCTTAAGTCCCATATTTTTAGTAGGTTTGATGTGCCGAAAGCAATCATCAGTGATTAAGGTACCCATTTCTGCAATCGCACCATTGAAGCATTGATGCGTAAGTAAGGAGTTCACCATCGAGTTAGTACAACCTACCACCCGCAAACTAACGGGCAAGCTGAGGTCTCTAACTGCTAGATCAAAAGTATCTTGGAGAAAACTGTCAACTCGACTCGCAGGGACTGGAGTACCCGATTGGATGATGCACTATAGACGTATCGCACGGCATATAAAATACCAATCGGAATGTCCCTGTATCGGTTGGTTTTTGGGAAAATATGTCACTTGCCTGTGGCAATTGAGCATCGCACGTTTTGGGCAGTTAAGCAGTGCAATTTGAACGCAGATAGAGATGGAAAGGAAAGAAAACTCCAACTTCAAAAGTTAGAAGAAATCCGTTTAGAAGCTTACGACAATGCCCGACTGTACAAAGAGCGCACCAAGTCATTCCATGATCGCCTAGTGCGTACTAAGCATTTCTCTGTAGGGAAAACGGTACTTCTGTTTAACTCCAGATTGAAATTCATACCAGATAAGTTGAGGCCTCGATGGATGGGGCCATATGCTGTTGTCAACATTTTTTCCAACGGTGTCGTTGAAATCCGAAGTTTAGAGACTGACAAGAGTTTTAAGGTTAATGGTCATCGTCTCAAGCCGTTCATCGATATTTCAGACCTTGGCACTGTGGAGGAGGTCCATTTGCTCGACCACAATTCGAATTAAATGTTAACTTCCTCTTCGTCTGGCCACAGACGTTAAATAGAGGCGCTGCTTGGGAGGCAACCCAAGAATTTCATCTTTCAGTCATTTCTTGTGTTTTTAGTTCTTGTTTGTGTTTTAAATCAAGTTGTTGGGATTCCTATTGATGAACGATCTTTATTGTAGGTCCGAGGTGTGTTTGGTGTAATTTTCTTGTAGGTTAGGAGCACGAAGTCGTGGGTAAAAGACCTTATAATACAAGGCATGCCCGCGCCTTGTATTACCCATACGCAGACAGTTGTACAAGTTGGTGAACAGAAGACTTACACTTTCAAGGCGTGCCCACGCTCTGAAGGGAGGCGCCGAACGACGGGTTCTGAGCAATCGATGCCCACTTGACTTGCGGCTACAAGGCGTGCCCACACCACACAGCTGATAGCGTTAGTCATGTTTCATGGCGTGGACAGAAGACTCTTGCTTCCAAGGTGTGCCCACGCCATACTACCCATACACAACTAATGGTCCCTACTTCTCTACTTTTCTTATTCTTTTCTTGTCTTTTCTTTTATTCCTTGTGGTCTTCCTTAGTCTACCCCAGACCTTGACCCAGTCTCCAAAACCGCCGCCACTCCACTTCAGCCACAGCACACCGCACCGCCGTCTTTCTTCGCTGCAGCCCGCCACGCCTGCCGCGCTGCACATCCGGATCGCGCCATGCACGGCCTCCACCGCTGCTGTCCGCCCCTAGCCCGCTCTCTCTCTTTCGTTTTCG